TTTCATTTATCCGGGTTATCTCTGCGCCCACATTTACCTGCCTGTACCCTATTTCCGTTTGCAGTCTCACTTCTCACAGGAAGTCTCCTCAGACTGCAGGGCTGGGGCATATCCGCTTCCCTGGTGGCCCTGTGCGACTGACCACGCCATCTCACTCTGGCCACACTTTCCAGGCCGCCTCTGTGGACGCCTGTGGCTACCTTGCGAGTTGTCACTGTACGGTAAACGCTTGGGCTTCCTCTCGTGAGACCCCTTCTGCAGCCCTTTGACTAAGGGGACTAGTCAAGCCTTCAGTGCCCGGCCGGCCTCCAGGTGTGGGGCGAGAAGGAAGCCCTGGACTCACTGCCCTGATTTCCGAGCACGAGGGCCCTGGCCAGCCTGCCCTCTCCTGTCCTGTGTGTTGTGGTGTGGGCGGATCCTTTACTGGAAGAGGGAGAAGTGGGATAAATGGGACTGTTCCATCTTGGCCAAAATCAAAACGTTTCTTGTCATTTCTATCTATTAAAATAAAAATAGAAGAAATAAAGAGACGTTGATGAACAAAGTTCAATATAGACAAGGATTCTGAGTCTCTGCCACACTGACAGGTGGAGGTGGGCGAGTGTTTGTTGGGGCTGCCCTGCCTGTGGGTGCTGAGCGGTGTCCTGGCTGCCACCCACTGACGCTACGTGACACTCAGTGATGACACCCAGTGTCTCCAGCCATCACCTAATGGGGCCTGGGAGGCAACATCGCTGCCTATCGAGAGCCCTGGTGTATTAATACATCAACTGAAAATACTTCATATGCATCCAGACTTACATACGACTAGAGCATCTTATTGAGTCTTTTGTAAAAATAAATAAATAAATTGTAGCAAGTGTATCAATATCACTAAAAATGTGTGACAAAAAATATCTTGCCAAAGAACAATAGGTGAACAGTATATCCAAAAGATGTTTTATGACACAAGAGCTACCTAGCCTGGCTGACACCCCATCGGGGATTCTGACACACATCCCCACATGAGGTGAGACACGCAACTGACACGTCCTGAGCTTTCGTGCACAGCCAAGCAGACAGTGAGTTCCACGCTCCTCTGACGTGAGCTGCGCCCTGAGTCGGGGCTCTGCGCTTCTGCCCTCGAGCCCAAGTGAGACTCTTCCCGTCCCACATCCAGGCTGATCCTGCTCCCACAGACATGCAAACAGGGCCCAGCCCACTTAAACAAACCAGATCCATTTGCCCCCACGATTTCCCACAGAATCTGCCACCAGAGAAGAGATTCCCATGAAGTCCTTTACTCTTGGCAGTGTGTCCAGATGACCGCTGCTCTAAACATGCCAGTCACGGAAGGAAAAGACATCCCAACCACTACAAATTAGGCTACTGTCACCTCTATAGCCTCTTCATACCAGCGAGACCCAAGGAATAGAGAGAACCCACACTTGGGGCCAGAGGGCCCGGGCTTGTGTCTCTGCTCCTAACTCTATGGCACTTTTTTCCACAAGCCCCATTTCCCTCCTAGGAAAAATGGGTATAATAACACTACTTGTAGGACCACAATAAAATTTAAACTAAGTAACACAGGTATTGACACTTTCTAACCTGTACAGAAGTGTTCACAGTGGGCTGTTATACCTCATGCTCCTCAAAATCCTTATAGCATTTATAGGTGCAGCATATTAATTGCTAAGTTATGTTATATGTCAACAATCAATGCATGAATTAATTAACTAATTACAGTGATGTCACCAAAACTACATTTTTTACGTTTTAAATGCATAGAGTTTATGCCAAGAAATCTGTTAGGTTTGAGGATACAAAGTTGTCCTTGATCTCAAGGGATTCATAACCATTCACTCCTGTATTCAAATGATCATTCTTCATCACTTGTTATATCAACCTACTGATCCCTGTCCCGGCGCTGGGGTAGGTGTAACAATGATCAGGACAGAACCGGGAAATCCACTTCCAGTGAGAAAAGAAGTCAACAGACACCAACACTGAGATAAATCTGCTGCTGAAATGATCAGACAAGGATTTTAAAGCAAACACTCTACAAATGCTTCAATAAGGAATTAACCATTCTCTTGATACAAATGAAAATTGGAAATATCATCAAAGAAATATAGGTTACCAACAACAACAGAAAAGGAACCAAATGAAGACAATAAAACTAAAAAATGCAATCACTGAAGAAAACCCAGACAAACCCAGCTCAGAGTAGAGCGGCGGAGGAGGAGGAGGGTAGGATTAGGTACTTGAGGACAGATCTATAAGATTTGCCCCACCTGGGAAACCAAGAAAATAGATTAACAACATTTAAAAGTATCAGACACCTGTAGTACCACAACACAAGATCTATCATTTGTGGTGCTGGATTTCCAGAAGGGGAGGAGACACAATGGGACTGAAAAATTACTTGAAGAAATTATTGCTGAAAACTCTCCAAATTTGGCAAAAAACAAAACCAAAGATTCAAGAAGCTAAACAAATCACAAATAGGATAAATAAAAAAAAATCCCACACCAAGAGACATCATAATTAATCTTCTGAAAATTGAAAAGTCTTGAGCACAGCCAGAGAGAAATGTCACGTCACCTGTGGGGCAGTAACGGGTGACAGCAGATTTCCCCTCTGAAATCATGGGGGACGGAAGGAAGTGGCATGGCATATTTTAAGTACTGAGAAAAAAGAACTGTCAACCCAGTATTCTGCATTCAGTAAAAATATCCTTCAGAAATGAAGGGGAAATTAACACGTTCTCAGAGGAAGAAAACCTAAGGTAATTTGTTCCTAGGAAGTCTGTCCTCAAAGAATCACTAGAGGGAATTCTCCAAACATAATAGAAATGAAAACAAAAGAAGGCTGGGAACTTCAGAAAGGAAAGAAGATTAAGGTGGGTAAAAGCAAAGGTAAATTATCCCCTTCAGAGTTTCCTAAATCATACTTGATTATTGAAGCAAAAATGATAACACCATGTGGTGTGGTGCTCAGTGTATATAGAAAAAACAGCACAATTATATTGAAAGGGATATAATGGAAATCATATTTCAGTACTTACTCAGAGTGGTAACATGTGGATACCAGTAGACTGTGAGAAATTATGTGTTTATCGCAATACCAAGCAACAAATAACGCAACTATACAAAATGTGATATACTAAAAACACTGTAAATAAATAAAGACAAAATCCTAAAAATTGTTCAAGTAGCCCACAAGTGGTCTAAATACAATGATTAAAAGTCAGAGGTGTCAGAGGAGATTTAAAAAAAAATAAAACAACATGATCCAATAGTCAGTCTACAGGAAACTTACCTCAAATATAACAACACAGGTGGGTTGAAAGTAAAGAATGTCAGTTTCCTGCAAAACTAAACACGTGCTTACCAGGTGGCCCAGTAATTGCATCCTTGGGCATCTATCCTAGAGGAAAAAAATTATGTGCAAATAAAAACCTGTGCATGAATGTTCATAGCGGCTTCATCTGTAACAGCAAAAACTGGATACAACTCCAATGTCAGTCGGCAGGTGAGTGGTTGAACAAACCATGCTCCATCCGTACCACAGGCACTGCTCCACAATAAAAAGGCAGAAACTGTTGATCCCCATGGTAACTTGGATGGATCCCAAGTGCTTGCCCTGAGGAGAAAAGGCCAATCCCAAAAGGTTGCATGTGTGTGATTCCACTCACGTGATGTTTGACACGACAGAGCTGGAGACGGAGCAGATTGGTGGCTGCCTGGGGTCGGGGGCCAGGAAGGAGGTGGCCAAGGCCATAACCCATTAGCTCTGGGTTCCTGGGAAGGCACCTTGCTGGGTCTTGGCCATGCCAGTGGCCACCAGGCGTGTTGATGTGATAAAAGTGCACACACAGACATGAGTGCTTGTAAAAATGGTGAAATCTTTAAAAAGGCCAGTGGACTGTGTCCATGTTAATTTCCTGGTTGTGATATTGTTCTATAGCGACGACGTGAGATGTTTTCACTGGGAGAAACTGGGTGAAGGGTATTTTTCAGAGTCTCCCTGTACTATTTTTTACAATCGCATGTGACTATAATTATCTCCATAACAAAATAAAAAATTATAAGGAACACAAATTTTTATTTTTATAGTTAAAATATCTGAAAGCTTCTAATGAATAAATCAGGGTTCAGCGGTCTCTCTGCTTCTTCCAGCCCCCATCCTGAGTCCTCCCTCCCTGCATGGGACGCTCCCCTGGGCGGTGCAGGGGCCTGGCGAGGGGCTCTGTCACCATCTGCCACCGTGGGTCTCAGACCAGAGCCGCCCGCCCCACCGGTGTCTGTGTCAGGCAAGCTGGCTTCTTCCAGGGACCGAGATGGGGTCGCTCTCAGTCGTTCAGATGCGAGGCCCTCGGCGCCCCAGGGCCGGGAGCACATCTGGGCTGCACACAGCCCCACGTGGAGTCAGGCTCGCCACAGCTGTCGGTACTGGAACGAAGCCTCCGACTCTGGCCGAGGCTCTGCCCGGCCGGTGTGCGTTGCGAGGGGCTGGACACTCGGCACCGGCCTAGCTCGCGGCCTCGGGACGCCGTGTTCCGCGGCGGCAGCGATCGATTGTCCCATTGCAACCTTACACTTTTAAAATCCTGGCAGAGAAAGTGGTGACACAGCTCTGCAGTGCGACAGCGTCGCCGCGGGGCTCTTCCTGTGCTGGAAATCGGGGTGCTGCCGGAGGGGCGCAGGGGGGCGTCGAACCCGTGAGCGGGCTCTAGAGCCCGTCGGCCCTGCAAACCCGGTGTGTCCTCTCACAGGTTCGCTGCTCTGCGGACCTGCCCGCGGCCCAGGAGAAAGCGGGACTTTCGGCAACCATGGGTGCCACGCAGATGAAATTGCCCGACCCAAGTTCGGCTGTTTGGTAGGATCCCGCCATCAGCATAACGTCATAGCGCGCAGCGAGTCCCGCTCTGCGCGGGACTTTTACGTCATCAGCCGGCCCCTGCGCTGAGTGGCTGCAGTTCCCGCCGTCAGGAGCGCGCCTACCCCTGGGCGCGGCGTCGCGCGCGCGTGCGTGTTGTCTGCGCGACGCTAGGATCTTCGGCGCCCTCTGGGTCTGACCTCTCGGCTCTGGTCTGGGCGACAGGTATGTCTGCACGTGGTTGTCGTGTTTGCGCTGAAGTGTATCGGATGATCCTAGATATCTCCATGTTCGGTCTCCCGAGTGGAGAACGTGAGCGGACTCGAAATGCCCGAGGGGCTCGGCCGGTCCCGCGCTGCTGGGCGCCGCATGGGTGCCGTGTGGGGTGCCGTGTGGGTGCCGTGTGGGCGCCGTGAAGGGAGACGTATGGGGTTCTGTGTGGGCGCCATGTGGACGCTGTGTGGGGTTCCGTGTGGGCGCCGTGTGGGGAGCCTTGTGGGTGCCGTGTGGACGCTGTGTGGGGTTCCATGTGGGGAGCCTTGTGGGTGCCGTGTGGACGCTGTGTGGGGTTCCGTGTGGGCACCGTGTGGGGAGCCGTGTGGGTGCCGTGTGGACGCTATGTGGGGTTCCGTGTGGGGAGCCTTGTGGGTGCCACGTCGGGTGCACGGCTCAAGCTGCGCCTGGGAGAAGTCGAGGCAGACGCCGTGCGCATCCAACCCTGCCTCTCCGCGGAGCCTCCTGGTTTCCTGGGGTGCGACTCCCTTCCCTCCGCCCGCGGGGTTGCGCACTCGCCCCTGCCCTGCCCTGGGCGGTCGCGGTGCCTGGACCCCCTCCTGCCGTCCATCCCGCCGCCACCGTCCTGCTCCGCGTCCCGCGTCGCCAGAGCTTCCGGCCGACACGACACGACGCGTGGCTCCGCGGGGACGCCGAGGCCGCCCGGCTCGGCCGAGGCCCGTGGCCGCGCTCGGACTCTCCCCGGAGCCTGGCTCGTCTCGAAAAGCCCTTCTCCTTTGGTGCTTTCAGATGTCGTCCCTCTCAGACGCACCGCGGTCCGGTGCCTTCCAGTGCCTTTTGAAAACAAACCAACCTCTTTTCTCTCCATGGAGCTTTAATTTACTCTGTCGTTTTACCATTTGGTTCTGGTAGTTCATATGAAACGTCAGAAAGTCTCCCCGCAGTTCACGAGTATCCGTGATTATATCAAAGAGAGGTTGACTTAGCGTGGCATTTGCGATGTTGGCTGTTTAGAAAAGCTGGAGAATACGCTGTCTTCAGGTGCGGAAACCCGGCCAAACGCCCCACAGACAGCGGGGCTTCCCCACACCTGTCTGAATGTCGCCCGTCCTGAAGCCTTACCTGAGTTTAAGGTCCACGTAGATTCACGATGTTATTTCTTCTCCGTGGTGGTTGCCTTTTTGAATTTATAATTGAATTTAGGAAAGTAATTCACGTTTTATCTCAAAGCATCTTTTGTGGTTACTGGAGCATGTTCACACGCACATACGGTTTTCCTCCTGGAAGACAGAAAAGCCTGCAGAGAGTGAATCCAAGTGCAGTGACTCTAACCCCTTATCCTGTCTAAGCAGTGGGCAAGCGTACTGGACTTCAGTGCCCCAAACCAAATTTTATCGTGACCCGCTGCCTCATATTCTCCTAACAAATTAATTGTCATCCTCCTTCCTTCCCTGGACACAAAACTGACACTTAGTGCCCATGCTCTTGAACCACGCAGTAGACAGAAACAAGACAACATGCAGGCCCCAGGGAGCCCAAGTGAACCTTAACAAATCTTGGCAAGGAAGTGTGGGGAGGCCGGGGTATCTGCAGCTTGGCCGGGTTCTTTAACTAATTTTTGAACGACAGACCAGCACATCACGTGTGGTGGTCATTTAGCTATTTCCAACAGGTAAGCAGTGGCTTATAGTGTGTGTCTAAAGACCCAGTGTCTTGAATTGGGCTTTCCCCATAAAAATAACCCTGGAAGCTCTATTCTTAAGTTCCCACACTAAAAATATTCAGGAGACACAATTTATAAAAAAATCTCTTTCACTGCTCAAAAGCACTTTTTTTTTGTAATTTATACTAAGCCCTTTAGAATGTCATATTGGTCTTTTATTAGTAACCTTGACAATATGATTAGACTCCAAAAAATGTCTACTTGTTAGTGAATAGCTTTCATTCTCCAAACTTTAAAGAGGCTACTCAGCTATGACCAAAGCATGCTTCATTTTTTAATTTTTTGCAACAAAAAAAGCACAGAAGATAAAAAATATATGGTTAGATAAAGTATTAAATTAAACATCTGGAAACAGTTAAATAAATTGGGTGGTATTGTAAATTTGTTAAAAAACTATTTAGATGCCATAATTTGGGCAGAACTCTATTCCCTTTCTGAATTAGAGTTAACTTTCAATTATAATTATAAAAACTATTCTGTTAAAATGTAGGGAAAATGTAATTTTTAGAAACATTCATTTTTCTAGTGACAAAAGCCTTTTGTCTTTTTAAATGTTGTTTAAATGTCTTTATTATGTGTCAGATCCTGTTTACATTTTGCTTAGATATTGCCACAAACAGTATAAAGATAAGTTGCTAAAGTTAAAATGAGAAAAAAATTTTTACTTATTTTTACTAGAAGAAGACAATGAGATCTTTGGCTACATTAAATGAAATGCATTTTGACAATGTTGATCAAATCTGAGGGGCAAAAAAAAAAAAAAAAAAAGGAAAGAAAGAAAAGAAAGAAAGAAAGAACCAAAACAAACAAAGTGAAGCAAATCTCCCCAACACCACAGCAAACCGAACTGAAGGCCCAAACTTTAACCTTCATGGAGAGATCTTGTTGTGCTTTTAAAAGTCCCTGATATTTCCCCCGGGCCCCCGCCCTGGCCTGCTCACTGCCCGTGTGTTATTGAAATGCTGATGTTCGTGTTCATGGTAATTTCGGAGCCACAGCAGACGTGTATTGCTTCCTCTTTTAATAGGTGCAAAGTGAGTTATTGTCACAGAGCAGATATGAAAAGAGGATGTGAAAGGGAATCTTGCCTCATCTTTGTGGTGCGGGTTTGCGAGGGTGCTAACATGGTCACCTGAATTATGCATGTCTATTGTGTTCAGATATCATAAATCGGTGCATGAATACCCCCAAATCATTTTCAGTTCCTGAACATTTATATACGGAGCTCTTGAGCTCGGCAAAGACAATTAGTCATATTTGTATGCCGGAATTAATTGAGAGTGAGATGCGGGAGGCAGAGGAGAGAACAAAGAATGCTTTTTGTCAGTTCTTCCAACTGACAGGGATAATTAGATATATGAAATTGAAATTCCTCAGCAGGGGGCTTCTGTTGACAATGAATTTTCTTTTGATTCCATTCTGTTATTCTTTTATGCTGTCATCTGTGGCAATTTGTTATTCAGCTTGAAGCTTAAAAAAGCAAAGCATTCCGCTTTTATGAGTAGATGATGTCAGTTTGTACACTGCTGGGAAATAGATATTAAATGTAATCTTTAAACTAAAAAAAAAAAGAAAAGAAAAGAAATAAAATAAAATCAGTTAAAGAGACAGTGTGCTGTTTACTCAGCCTTCAGAGAAGAAACTTCATAAGAAATAGTCGGAACTTGTTCAGTGGTATTTGAAGTTGTTCAAGCCCCATTAATCCGGTGCCTTGACTGCGGCTCGAACTGTTCTTCTAAGAGGATGCAATTTAATGCTGGGAAACTCAAGTATGCAACGCCCAAATGGCACTAGACGCTGGCTGTTGCAGAACACTACTATTATCTTGCTTAATCTCGTTTTCATTTATCTTCACAATACCAGAAGCATTATTCACAGATTACCTCTCCTTTTACTTCCATCTGAATCAAATGCCGCCGATGTCGTGTGTTCTTAGGAAACGAATCATGAAAACCTCAGACCAACCCCCAAAATATGATCTGCATATACTATTTATCCGGGCTTATCGGCAAGCTTGACTGAGACTGTTTTACACTTTAGACTTCAAAATAATGACCCTTAGCTTGCAGCTCGTCTGGGGGCTTTTTGTCTGCAGGAAGAACATGTCCTGGTGTGTGTGGCACAGACCTGGTTCACGGCCTTCCTCCAACTCCAGCTACTGTTGTGAATTGTGGGCAAGATTTTCCCTTCCTGGGTCCTTTTCCCTCATCTGTAAAGAGACAACTTGAGCAGATAACTTGTTGTTTCTGTGCTGAGGGACTTAGCTCCATGCCTGGGATGTGGTAGCACATCTTGAAAGTTAGCTCTCGGGTCCCCTTCCTTAAGAATGTCATCAGCTTCTTAATACCCTTTGTGTATGGGATTCCCATCCACTTGTTCCTCCCCAGCTGCACATGGAGGCTCCAGCATGGAAGGCAGGGTGCTCAACCCTGGGAGCGCAGTGACAAACAAAGGCGCGCCCCTAGTGTTGCCCAGAACCTGCCCGGAGTTCTTGCAGTGGCTTCCTGAACCAGTTGCCTCCCCGCCAGCACCGGACTTGGTTTAGATGCAGTCTCTTGGACCCCTCCCCAGCACTACAGAACCGAGTATTTAGGGTCGGGCGCAGGAGTCTGGACTTCATCACCCATCCTGGTGGCTCTTGTGTGCGTTATCGTGTGAGGATGACTTACTCTGGGTGGGTGTCGGAGACTTTCTTGGGGGGGTGTCTGGGATGCAAGAGTTTACCACTGTTTCTCCGTTCGTGTTCCACAGTACAAAGGGTGGGACCCACCGTTGCCTTGCCTCTGTTTTGTTAACTGAGATGCTCGTGCCGGAGTTGGCGATGGTGGCTCTGTGGGTGCAGAAGCTGCAGGAGGAACATGCCTCCGGAACACAGCCACGGCCGCAGGTGGAGGCCAGTCCAATCAGCCACACAAGTGCAAGGCTGAATCAGGACAGGGTAATAAGGATGTGCTGGAGACAGCCGTGGAGCAGACGTGTGGCATGTGCACAGGTGATGTGCCCGGCGCACACGGCTCCCACCTTAGGGCTGTGATCCCAGTGCCAATAGTGTTTGGATGTGATGTCCTGTTTTCTTCTAAAAGCACAGTGTACATAATTTCCCTATTTGCTTTTTCCTTCTTTGTGTTTTGTTTCGTGGTTCCCCTTCTGCTGGCGGTTCTCCACAAACATCCTTGACGTTCTTCTGCCTCTGTCTTTTCATTTCATCCACCTCCAGTCTTCCCAGAGTTGGGAAGGTTTGTTTCCTCAAAATGAAAGTTCCTTAACC